GACCTGGAAACCCAGGTTTCGCAATTTTTGAATTCTGAAAGAGAAATCTAACTTGCAAAGTTAGATTTATTGGGATTGGGGTTTCTGTTTTGGAACAAATCAATTCAACAGATGCCAAATGGAATTTAACACTAGCATTTATCAAACAGATAAAGAAAGGGAAATTTAAAAAGACATTCAGAAGCAAATTACAAGATTTTGATGTGGTCCTCCTGTGAGATTTGAGCCTTTAATTCTTGCCAGGGTCCAACGATGTTAACAGCTAAATGAATGTGGGTTTCCCAACAACTCTGCTGTAAAAATAATGCTTCTTACAAAGTTTGGCGCTGAGCTGAAAGAGCAAGAGAGTTGAATCTCAGGCCTGCCTTGTACTGGCAGTTTTTAATAAAAGTTGAATCAACTAATGGGATATCTGGAGTGGAACAGAGCAGAACTAAGACATATGCAAGAACCATAAGGAAGGCATCCATGTGGTGTCAAGCATACTGTGCACTGCTCCAGTCAGCAAAATGCATATTACTCCAAGAACAAGCAATCCAGCAAATTTTATTCACCACTGCAGAGGAAGGCTGCAGAAAGAAAACCCCATAGTCAGTGTAACAACAGTGCCAAGGAGATTTCTGCACCCTGCCAAGAAGGTATAAATTCCTCGTGAATATGAGAAAACAAACTGAGCCTGCAATTCAATTAGGGCAGCAAACTATTTGTCTTTTTATGCCTTGGCAGTGGCTATGCCCCCAGCAACATAAAGCAGCCCACCATAATGGACAAGTAACTATTTAGCCAAATCACATTGCAGAGTTTATGAACCATGATCCCTTTATCCAAATTTAGAAAGTTGATTTATGTATGCGTTAGACTTACATTTTGGCATTACCAGTTAGGCAGAATTTAATATTTTTGTAATGGGAGATTATGAAGAAACTAGTTTTGTTTCTGCTCATCCCCAAGACATACAAGGCTCTTCTGAAAAGTTCAGAGAAATCTCTTTTTACTCAGCTCCCTATGTTTTTCTGGGAATGCCAAAGACTCCTAAAGATTCCTGCAGTTTCTCAGGCTTCATTAAAATGTCCTTAGTTGGCACAGGACATTGAATAACATCTTCCCAAATAATTTCCTTATCAAGTGGAAACAGAAACGATTTCTGCTTTTAGAGACTGTGGGCATGACAAACAAGTTCATCTGGCTGGAGAAAATAAAAACACCATTATTGCTTTCAAGCTGCAACCCTGAGGTCTAATCCTCCAAAGCTTTGGGTGAGGCTCTCAGAGCCCCTCCGAAAGTTGCTACTGAGTTAAAATTTTCATTTGCCCAAAGTGGAGGCTTATTAAATACATGGGAGTAATCCTATTAACTAGATTTTGTCCCTCCCAGTTAAAGTCAACTAATTCTTATTTTTCTCTTGTTCCCACGCCTGGCACACACTTACCAAAGACTTGTGGTCCTTTGAATCCTATTCAACCATTGTTCTCCCACAGCTTACAATAATAACTGAGTGATTGCACTGCCCATTAAATGCATGTTCTACATTTTCACTGACTTTCATTAACATTCTTTTAAAATCCATTCTGAGCTCTGCTATTGTGCTATTAAGTATACCCAATCATCGTGCATTTTTTTTAATCGAGAATGAAATGTACCGTTCTAAAACCATCATACATGTAGTCAAAAACAGCCTACCTGGCCTTAAGACATGGTTGCTGAGGCTACCTGGGGATAGCAGGTGTCATTGTAGCATTTTATTGGACAAACAGCAAAGAGCAGTATGTGGCTACCTATAGAACACAGAGAATGTAGCATGAAAGCTACATAAAGCCACCATTCTGCAGCAAAACCAAGATCATGTAAGCCACCCAGAGTCGCCTTGTGGTGAGATGGGTGGTACACACATTTAATAAATAGATAATAACCCCAACCTTACCGCCACACAAAAAATCAACCGCAAGGGACATTAAGCATCTCTTCAAAGCAATGCTTAGTTTCTTAACATCTTATATTTGGAAGGGGGTGTCAACCTTTCAAGCTAGGTCCAGTTCAGGAAACAGACTCCACAAGAAGACTGAGTGTGGAATTGGGATCGTAGAAACATCCAGGAGCATAGAAGAGTTCAGAGGCAGATGAATAAATAAATGTCTTAAACGTATTTATTCATATAATAAATCATATTAACTATGTACAACAGAGATCAAGTTTCATGAGGAACAAACATGAAAAGAGAGAGATGGAGAGAACACAAGATGGAAAAGGTTGGAGGGGGTTTTATACTCAGCCCCTCCTTTCCACATAGGGGTGGAGACACTCTGTGCTTCCACTGGTATCTATATGACACATGTGCCAATGGCTTGCAAATACTTGATACTGAGATAGGTTGTATTAAGAGAATATTTCAAGTTTTCTGGTATTTTGTTTCCTCTCCCTCTTATACCCACTGAGTTAAGGAGGAACCAACTTGAGTCTCCTTCCAATACGATCTTTTCAGAGCTCAACGAATGCTTCTGCTCCTTTTATTTTCTGAATATTTTGGTCAATATCATCTATTGATATCATCAATATCATCTCCACAGCTCTTTTTGGGAGGTAGAGAGGAGGGAGGGAAAGAGATGACTCCAGTAGGCAACTTCTGTGATTTTTTAGCCCCTCCTTTGATTTAATTTTGCTGCAGGATTCTGACCCATTTGCCCAGCAAATATTCATCTGTACCTAGCTAATTATTTTCATTTTTACTAGCCAAGAAGTCTAAACTTTCACCATTGATTCCAAATCCCAAAATTCGAAGACTTATATACTAGCTCAAATTTTGATGAGGCACACCAGACTTTAAGAAGTGACACAATAACACAGCAGATAAAATGTAATCTTCAACCCACAGTAACCTGGGATGAACAGCCTTCCCCAATCCAATGCCTTCCAGATACGCTGGGCTCTCATCATCTCTCATCATCTCCAACTACATCATCTCCAATTACATGGCTAATCCAGCATTTAGAAGTATATCCAGATACTTCTACAGGCCTCCCATCTTAGTGTCAGCCCCTTTCTTATATGCAATTATGCATCCTACAGATTTTACAGCCTCTTTTCTGAAGGAAAATATCTCTTCTAGTTTATCAGAGTCTGAACAAACTGTAGACTAGCTCAGGGACAAAAGTTGCTTTCAAGGATAGCACAACCAAGCAATGAGAAGAATTATTGCTGTTCTTCCCTCTTCTATAGACTCACTGTGCCCAAACCAACAGCCTTCTAAGAATGGCTTCAATTTCTTTTCTTCTTGTTTGAAATTCATTAGAACCACCCAGTGACATTAGCAAAATGAAATGTTAAAACAAGGTAAATATTCATTGCACTCCTCAATCGCTGCAGTTTGAAATTGTAAGACTGCCTGGCCCATGTCAGCTTTTCCAAAATGCTTGCTTACAGTTCCTAATTTGGATCTCCGCCCTTCGTTCCTCTTAGCCATTTCACTCTGTTTGCACAGTGAGACAGAGTACCATGCAAGGAAGGTCCATGCAAGGAAGAGAGACTGGCTCCAAGAAAAGACTATGGGCCCTTTTTCTAAGTCTGTCTTTCCAAAACAGCATTCAGCTATCTTTTGCTGAGGTGGGGAGTGGAAATTATTATTATTTATTTATTTTGCAGTGGAACTATGCTACTTGTATTATTAGTAAAATCAGAGCAATAGCTACAGTACTAAGATTGGGCTAGTAGGCAATTGAGAACACAGCAGTAACATCACCAAAGATACTGAAACCAAAATATGAAGCTTTTTTGTCACTGTTATATTTCTTTTTTAAAGGAAAAAAATGGTATATTAAACCTGGCAAGGTTTATTGCACTGGTTTTCTTTCTTTGGGAGAAAAATAGATTAGATTAAAAATTGTGCTGCTGAATTTCCACTTTCAGGATTGGGTCTGGGGTAATCTTCTGCCATCACAAAAAGAAAATGGGGCTAGGGACAAGGATGATGTGGTCCAAGAACACTGGAGCTAATAATTTGAATCCATTCTTTCAAACTATTGTTTTGATCTCTGTGAATACATGTATAAAGCCTAACTGAAAATTATGTCAAATCCAGGGGTGATTAGTCACCATTTGAAGGATCTTCGTTGGCTTCCAGGAAAACCCAAAGCACGTTGCCTACTATTATTATTATTTATTATTTATTGAATTTACTAATACTTGCTTCCAGAATATGATGGAAGGGTTCTACTCACAGAATTTATCCACCAATTAGGTAATTATTTTGGCCCATGTAAGAAATACTGGGTAGAACAATCTAATCCCAGGACTAATATTACAACACAGAACAACTATTCATGCAAGAGGAACTTTGGCTCATAAATCTTCATATCACACAGCGATTTCCCATTCTAAAAGGGCAATTCCAGCTTCATGAGGAATTCAGATTCACATTTTTCTGACTTTTGTTTAACCTTCTAGTTAACAAAAAAAAATCCTTAGCAGAAAACAAGAAGAGGAACCTCAAAAATAGCAATACAATAATAATAGCATTTAAACTTATATACCGCCCCATTGTGCTTTAAGAGTTGTTTACAGACTCAGCATATTGCCCCCAACAATCTGGGTTCTCATTTTACTGACCTCGGAAGGATGGAAGACTGAATCAACCTTGAGCCCGATCCAGATCAAACTCCAGGCTGAGGGCAACGTTTGCTTGCAATATTGCCTTCTAACCACTGTGCCACCAAAGAAAGATAATCAGTGCAGTAAACCTTACCAGGTTTAATATACCTCTTTTCTTTTTTTTTAAAAAAAAAGAAATCTCAGAAAAATGACAAAAAAAGATTTCATTAGTGATGACAGATGAATATAAGAGTTTTATTCCCTCTAGCAACAATTTATGTTAACATTGCTTATGCATCATAATTGGAATGAATTTAGGAGAACATTTCCAAAAGTCTCACTCTACTACATGACACGTTTGGCAGACTTTATCTCTAAGCAGTCTTGCAGCCATTTAAAGAGTGCCTTTAACAACTTACCCAGCTGGATAAGCAATGAGACCGTTCTTAGGATCACAGGCCAATCCTCTGCCTCCAGAGACAGTGATTCCCAGGACTTTTTCTAAAGTCACCTAGTTTAAAAAGAAAAAGAAAAGATGATGAATATATAGCTTTGACATCCTGTACAACTGCATGTGCTACACTCTCCGCATTTTATGCATCAGTTTACTCAGTGTATTATTTCTCTCATGGAGATCAGATGACATTCAAAAATCTGTTTTAAAAAGCTATCCAATATTTGAACATTCTTAACTTGATGAGGATGGCAAGAGTGTTTTTTTTTTAAAGGAAACTTCTCCATAGCAACTGAAAAGAAGCTATTTTGAAAATTGTTTCCAAAAGTGAAACCAATAAGGAGGAATCAGCTGAAAGCCTGAGCAGAAGCATAGGCTGCCCTTGTCCCTGCCAAGATCTTTTCAAATGTCTGGTACCATATTCCAGAGATATTTGTAAAACTCTTTCAGCAACACTGAATGGGATTATTTGAGAAAATCCCTCTCCAGAGCTTTCCAGAAGACAAGGACAGGTTTCAAATCTTTTAAAGAGGAAAACATGCTCTCATCTTTTAAGGGATTAGGGGTTGGACAGTCCTTCAATTCATTCCATTTAACCTGAAACTAAGTAAGATTTTTCTTTGTAAATATATTATGAATATATTACCAATTTAAGTTATTCTGTGGCAATTCCGCAATGGTTAAGCCAATTAACATCCCAAATATTAAGAAAAGATTTGAATTTAACAGAATAACAGTTGGAAGGGATCTTAGAGGTCTTCTAGTCCAACCCCCTACTCAAGCAGGAAATCCTATACCAGTTGTCCAGTCTTTGTTCAAACCTCTAGTGTTGGAGCACACACAGCTTGTTCTTGAATGGATGAACCAATCTGCTTGTTGTTCCCTGCAATCCTAACGAGCTATTCTGCTTTCTGACTTCTACCTATTAAAAAGTAGCAATGTAGCTGAAGAATAGGTACTATTTCATAGGAAAAAAAAAACCCACCCTACACACCAAAAGAAACATACTGGTGATTACACTTGATAGAGTTCTTTGCAAAGTATTTTGGTATGACTGACGCACACTCCTCAAAACATTAAAGCAGCCACATCTTGATTTGATGTCTCTAAGAGCTATCTTTAGCTCTGTGTACTTTTGGTATGGAAGCTTTACTATAACTGGTTGTCCCAGCTGAAGTGTTATCTGGGTTTACACACACATGGCAAACAACCAGGGGAGGTAGGTAAAACAATCATGTGACTGTCTCTAAAGGTGCAACTACTTTAAATCTTTGACTAATGCTTTCTTCATCCAACACACAGCTTCTTTCAAATGCACTGCGAGCCCTTTTACTGGAATTCTCTTAACTCGTGTGGATCTACAAGTGGAAGTCTTCCCTCAGAGGAGCACCACAACATCGGTACCAATGCTCCATCTGTTCTTTCTACAAATCAACTGAAGTTTTTTTTTATTTATTGTACAAACATATTGCCAATCTATGACTTTACTGGGCTGAATGTCAACTCTTCTGTTTAAGAGTTAGAATCACTGATGGTATCTTCTGTCCCAGCTCCAAAAAGCCTGCAGTGATCTCTGTTAGCCATCCTCCAGAGACTCTAGACTTCTTGAAAAGCTCCCACAAGAACTTTGGTAAGCAGCTTCAGGGCACACCTAAAAAAATCCCGTGGGAGCAGATCACCCATATTTAGTCACAAAGATGATTTGTTAAAACAGGCTTTCTCATTTGTAAGATAATTGTTGCTCCCAGGGATATTTCTTAAGTCCTTCTTTCATTAATAGTTCAGCTAGCCAGCTCTAGAACCAAACTAAAAGTCTGAGGATAAAAAAGATTCATAACTATCACCAACCTTCCCACCCCCCACCCCCATCATGGCATTTAGTTTATTTTTTGGGGGGGTACCAAATGCCTTAAAATGAGCATGAAGAAGCCATGAAACAAAAAAACACTATTTTCAGAAACAAAAATGATGCCTTTTTGTTTATTTTTTTAGTGCATGTTATTTTTCTGGAGAATGCATTCATATCTATTAAGTAACTGAACACAGGAGAATTTAACTGGACGTTGCTGTTTAAAAATGTTCTCTTTGCTTTTCAAAAAAGCACTACATCATCCACCACTTTAAGCCAAGAAAATATAATGGGCCGGAATTCAGATTTGCACAGCGTTTTGTTCGACTCAGCTGAAATTGTTACTAAGGTTGCATAAGGTGGGTTGCTCTAAACCAGCTTTTCTCAACAAGGGTCCTTCAAGAGATTAGAATTGGGGGGGGGACATCATTTTTGGAATTGAGAGAGTTCATATCCTTTGTGGGGGAAGGGACACCAAACAAAAAGAGTAGCCTAGTAAATTGACCAAAATAAAAGTTTCACAAACAAAAGGATATTCTCTACTCAAAAGAGCACTGACAGTTATTGTTGGATAATTTACAATTTACTGACTACAATAACATACAGTGACCTGTAGATTTAATAATTTTATGCATTATTTTTCAAGGCTTCCCTCCAGGGTAAAAAGATTGGAAAAAACTGTTGTAATTGATGTGCTGGGATTAACAGCCAGTAGGCTGCCCAGCCCAACTCAGGAACTTTAAAAATGAATGTGTTGCAAATGTTTCAGAGATTTCTCCAAGGTGTAGAATAGACCAGGAGATGATGCTGACACTGACTGTCAATAACTTGAAATTTTAGTTTCTAAATTTATTCTGTTTTGTTCTTATCCATGCCTTCCATGGATTTGCTGCTGAATGAAAAAATAGACAAAGATACAAATTCTAAAAGACAAACGAAATAGAAAAGAACCCGATTGACTGCTGCAAAAACTACATCCAATAACTACTCGCAGCAGTGTTTAAGGCCCTTATCATACAGCCATATCAGAGGTGGGTTTCAGCAGGTTCTGACCAGTTCTGGAGAACAGGTAGCGGAAATGTTGGGTAGTTCGGAGAACCGATAAATACCACCTCTGACTGGCCCCACCCTCATCTATTCTCTGCCTCCCGAGTCCCAGCTGATTGTAAGGAAAGGTGGGAATGGAGATTTTACAGTATCCTTCCCCTGCCATGCCCACCAAGCCATGCCATGCCCACCAAGCCACACCCACAGAACTGGTAATAGAATATTTTGAACCCCACCACTGAGCCATATCATAACCCAGAAATTGCTGGGTGTTTTTAGAATATCACCAGCTTTTATAGACAGGCATCATTTACTAGGTTCATCAATAAATTATTAGGATTTATTATGTATGTTCCCTAACTGGGCAACAAGAACAATAACTGTGAATAAGACATACAATATAGGGTAATTAATAATCTAACTCCTTGATTCCAAAGTAAGAATACTATGTCCTTTACATTCAACAAATCATTTGGTTGCCCTACTCCATGTTAACATGTAGAAAAAAACATAACGCTTAGTCATTTTTGACAGCGCAAAAAGACAGAAATGTTTTTCATTGACAAGGATTAATATCATGGTAGTTATGGTCTGGTGATGAGGATAAACCCAGCACTTCACGGATTCTGTCTATGTCAATCTCTTGAATTTATGAAACATAATTGTTGTATTAAAACTTCTATAAAGTAGCCGGAGAAAGTTTCCCACAATGGAAGAATAGGTGGGAAAACGTAGGGGAACTAGATTAATTAATTAATTAATTAATCCAACATTATTTCTACTTGGAAACAATTTCTGTATTTTGTGCAAGAGACAGAAAGGAATGAAACTTTGATTTTGGGATTTGTTGATTAGACAAGTTTGCTGTTATAGAAATGGCTAATTCATCTTAAGTACGCAAAAGTAAAAAGACTGTAATGTTATTATGTTATTTTACTGCACTGAAAAGAGTCAGAAGTTTAGGCTTTTCTTTCTTCTCCTTTCTTCTCCTTACCCATTTTTGCACTTATGCTCATTTTCATATATATTTTATATTTTGATAAATTTAATTAAAAAAAAATATTTAAAAAGTAGCCAGAGAAAGTTTTTTGCAACATTTGTTGAAATCACATATATTATTTTGATCCCTGGCTATTAGTTTATGGCCTACCAGACTTACTGTGAACATTCCCAAGCTTTTAAATACTGTGATTAACACAAGACTATCAATAGCAACTCTGAACTGGATTACCTGTAACTTAATTTTCATATATTCTATATTCAGTTGATTAATAAATATTGTGAGTTGTTCAAAATGCTCAATCATTCCAAGAAGGAATTTGATTCTTTGATTTCAAGGCTTTGTTTTCAAAACATTGAAGAGATTCTGGGATTTTAACAAAAGGTTTTTCAAGCATTTGTATTATTTCACTCAATGCCAACTCTCAGCTGTACTGAGCAACCTTCTCTTTATCTTTTTAAATTATGTATAAAGACAAAAGTACAGAACAACAGCAGGAGCTGGAATGAGTCAATCTGCATCCTGTGGTTACAGTCTAGGATTTGGGATTTGGAAGGTTTCAAATAGGGGATGTATGGAGGGTGATGACGAATGCTCCTTTGAAGTGGGTAGTGGCATGCATAGTGGGAGCTTCTGAATCTGAACATTTTTTCATCTTTGTCTCTGAGTAAGGTAACTCTCTCAAGAAATGAAACACAATTGGACATCCTTTTGGGCTCTCAGGTTCAGTACACATTAAGTGAGCCTCACTATATGGTTGGATAACATATGTTTTCTGATTATTACAGCTGCATCAAAAGGATGGTTGGTCACATAACTGGCAGATATTTAGATTGGATTTGGAATTTTTGTCCACCTATCAAGTCCTTCCCAAGGATCTGGGATAAGCAAATGCTTGTATTTATGTTGTTAAATGTATCATCGCAGGATGTGTTCCAAGTTTATTATTATTATTATTATTATTAGGGGTGGGAAGTATTATTAGCGACCTAGAGCCACAGATGTGTAATGAGCAGCTATTAAAAAATGCTTACATAAATAAAAACATGTAGTTAGTAGGGATCTGATGTGATGAAGCTTCACAATAGACCTTATATCTGTGATGGCGAACCTATGGCACGCGTGCCACAGGTGGCACGCAGTGTCCTCTCTGAGGGCATG